GGATCGTTCTTAGAATATAGCACATACTAACCTTATTTTACCATAGGAAATGCTTGTTTTTCTATCTGAAATAGGTTATTGTCACTGCTGCTCTTTCTAAAGTTTGCTACTGTCCTGACTGCCTGCGCTGACCAATGAGAAGTGCTTCTGAGCAACGGAAAGTGCTTCTTGCAAAAGCATGCTTGCCATCTGCAAGTGAAATTCAAAATCCAGAGCACATGGGCTACCGAAAGGTAAGTATAGCGGGGAAGAGGGGGCCAGATTGGAGAGGGGTAATTCCATTTTCCTAAATTCACCCTTAAGCAATAGAGCATAATCTTTCCATCTTGCACTCACCAAGAGCTGCTTCATTACTAACACTTGACAGTATACCATATGTATTCCCTTTCTTACCCCACTCTGCTTAACAGAATTTAAATTTAGTAGATGAATCAATCGCATACTGATCAAGAAAAGTAAAAGATAAAGATATAAAATTGCTTTGTAATAGGTCTATAGTGAGAAAAAAACAGCCTTTGTATATATATATATAAAAAAAAAAGGCAAGCTAGTAAAGTGACATTAAAGTCAAAAACTTTTCCCCTCCTCCCAATGTTAATGTTAGCACTTACCTTAAATGAGGTTTCTTAATCCGATCTTCCTCTTCTTTCCTGATGTTTTCATCTGTCCCTCCAGTGGTGCAGCGGCTCTCCGATACAGTGCTGACTCCTCTCTGCTTGCTGGCACTTCCGATCCAGCGGTGTCTGCATGCGGGTGCACGTGTCCACAGACTTACCTGGCGTTTCTGCTCGTCTCCCGCCTGAAAATCCGAGCTGCGTCTGCGCCCCCCTTCAAGATGCTTTGCGGCCGCCCGAGCAGTTTCGGATTCTTGGGCGGGAGCGTGAGGCGAAAACAGGCTAAGTTTAAACCGCTGTTGAAGCGGTTTAAAAAAAAACCAAACAACTTTTTGCATATATCTACTGCTTGCTAGCAGTAGATATAGGCAAAAAAACCGGAGGGTTGGAAACCCTTTAATTTAACAGAAGCTAGAGAGGTGCACAATCAGAGGGCTCATTTAAAGTGATATAAAAGTCAAACTTTTTAAAGCAATTTCAAATGCTGATGAAATCACTTACAATGGATGATGCTCCTTGATGTTTAAAAGTTTTAGTTTCCTGCAAAATCAGCTGTCTCCTGAACGCTGGTCCTGATATCCCATGTAGGATAACTCCTTTCCCTTGCAGTGTCCTATGGATCCACCCTTGTGTGAGCTAACAAGATGTGTGTGTCTCCACAAACACACAGGCACAACAAGGTAAGCCACTCCCCTGCTCATCCTTTCTCCCTTCTCCGAACTAGTAGAGGGAGACTGCTCTGTCCCTTGTGATCTTGTACTGGACAGGAAGTTCAGAAAAGCCTGCGCTAAGAGAGTAGGTGCTGTTTGGAAACATGATGACTAAGTGTTTGGGCAAAAATTAAAAGATATGTTTTGCTGGGCAATGATAATTTGTTTGATCTGGATTCATTATTGAAAAAAGTCTGAGTGTTTAATACTACTTTAAACTTCAGAACACAAACTTCCTAATTCCCCAGCAGCCAGCCATGACAAGGCATCTACGCATGGCTCTCATCTAGAATAGTACCACTACTGGGGTCATTTCTCCGTATGGCATCAAGCTATCTATGTTTATTTGTATAGGTATATGCAAAAGAAATACCAGTACCAGGTATTTCTTATGACTCTGGCGGGCAAAGAGCGTGGCACAAGAGAATGGGGAAGGTAACTCCCAGCAGTGGATGGAGCATTCTATGCAGTACAAGTTTGCTTTAGACATAATTGAGGAAATGTTGCACACAAAGCAAATATAGCTACAAATAATATAAACATGATCTTAAAATGACCATTATAAATTTTAAATGTGTCATTATATTAAGTGTCATATCACATAGGATGTTTCTGTTAGAATATATAGGTATAGCTTCAGCCTTTTTTATGGTGAATCATTTTAATTTCTAGCTAAAAATTCACTTTGCTGTGTTAAATTTCCTGTGCACATTGGAACTGGCCTCCAGGTAAGCCTGGTTACCACATGTGGCTGGGCAGACACTGATTACTTGAGATACAAGCGTCTAGCCTAATGTTGCCCAAAGCAGAACAGTCACCTGCCATCGACTTGGCGCTGATGTGCACAGAGACACTGTAGTTACAGCAGCTATTCAGTTGATTAAATAATACAAAAGCAAACTGTCATACTATGGAAATATTTAAAAACAACAGACTAAACTCTTGTAAATTATTTAATAAAAAATGAGTAGAATGCTAAAAAAATGATCCTGTTATGAGAAGAAATTGATACTTGAGTGCGAGGGGGATCATGATACAGAGGTGCGTGTGTGTATAGATGGGAGTGTTGAGTGTGAGGAATTTCACTGCATAGGTGTGTGTATGGATGGGGGTGCCAAGTGTGAGGGGGTTCATGTCATAGGTGTATGTATAGGAAGATACTGGGTGTAAGGGAGTTTATGGTATGGGTGTGTGTGTGTGTGGGGGGGTTGTACTGGGGGCTAGAAAGGAGGGGGTTCACAAAACTGGTGTGTATGGGGTGGAGACTGGGTGTGAGTGGTTTTATGCAATGGGTGTAGGCTTGGTAAAAAGCATGGGTGTGTTCATGGGTGGGTATGCTGAAGGTAAGCCAGAATTGAAGGTGTACTTGTTGTAGTTATATGGGTGTAGTTGGATATGATTGGTTTCGTGAGAAGGATGTGGTGCTGCATGTGGACTGCATGTAAGGGGATTCATGGCATAGGTCTGTCCTTGGCTGAGCACAGTGGCGGACCTAAGTATCAAAGAGCCCTGGTGCAAGATTTTTTTTCAGGCCCACAATGCCCATACTGGCCAACTGACCACCTGAAAGCCCGCAATGGCCACCTGAGAGCAGATGTTGACTTGTATAATAATCTCATTATATATTACAGTGTAATAATAATAGAAATAAAGTGCACAATAAATGCGCTTGAAACATCCCCAAACTACCTCTCCCCTCACATCCCCGCCCTCTCGCTTCGTGGAAAACATTTTTCAGCTAAAAAAGTCCTGATTCCAAAAAGGTTGTGGACCACTGCTATAGAGGACTACAACTCCCAGCAATAATTTTTACGGCAATAGAGAATGGCATTGGCTATAGAGGACTGCAACTCCCATCAATATTTTATACAGCGTTTGCAATTCTGCATTACCCTATAAAGTTCTGCTGGACGTTGTAGTCCTCTATAGCCGTTACCATTCTGCATTTCTGTATAAAGTATTGCTGGGAGTTGTAGTCCTCTATAGCTAATGCCATTCTCCACTGCTGCAACGCAGAATGGCACCAGCTATAGAGGACTACAACTTCCAGCAATACTTTATACATAAATGCAGAACAATTCCATAAGTTACACAGGGTTACAAACAATGTGACTTAAGGCACATACCTCGTTTGACTGTCCTCGCGGTGCGAACACATGCAGCAGGGAGAGGTGGTGGGCTCTGAAATCCAGTGTCTGCTGCTCGTTCCTCCTGGCCGAGGCCCCAGCGCTGCCCCAGAGTGTGCCTGCAGGCTGATGTGATATCTCGTCCCACCAGCTCTCTCCTCACTGCCAGGCGCCCGCAACCATCTCTTGCAATTATCCTGGAGCAGCTGGGGCCCCAGCCTCCCCCTCATGTGTCACCTGTACTGCCGATACCCATGTAAGGGTCCCAAACCCCCAGGACCCTCACATGAGTATCGGCCGTCCCCCCCCTGATGGTAGAAATGAAAACAGAACAAAACTGACGCTATATTTTTACTCTGCTGTGCAATGACTAGAAAAAAAATTTAAACCATCGGGAACATGCACCAGGAAAGAAAATGTAAAGCTAACATTTATGTAGACAAACAAGGTATTTAAAAGAAGACCAGCATTGTACTGCAATGGTACTATAAACAAATGACACATTTGAATGAAAGATGTCCATGTCGTGCAGCTTAAATGAAAAACTCAATATCAATTGAGACCCCATCCTTTTATCCGTGGGTGGGCAAGGGAATGGACAGGAGCTCTCAGGAAGCCAGGGTGTTATCTGCCAGCATATGCTATAAACAGAAATTTGAAATGTAGGTAGACTAACCATTTTTTAATACACAACAGATATCAACATTGCTCTTTACTGGCCTTTGAAAAATGAACTGTCTACCTTCTGATTATTTTATCATCTGTAACATGTTAACATCATAATGTTACCACCAATAATGTGTCTGCCTTGAATTAGAGGTTAAGGTGTCTAAAAGATTGTTATCTCCCTGAGCATGAACTATGGCAAGCCATGCTATGAATATCAGTCCCTGCACTGCCCTGTGGTATTCAAGGGGTCAGTGGCAAAGCTCTGACATTCCAGCACAGGATGTACTTACTCAGGTCACTTAAGAGCCAGGCACCACATCAAACACACAAATAGCTTGCTAAATGTGAAACGGCACACTGCATCCATCAATCACTAAGACAACACTTCATTTCTATTTTTTTTATATATGATTGGCGAGTAAAATAAAACAACAGCAATTTGTAAATAATATTCATAAAATATATGCATAATTTTACGTGTATCCAATATTAAAATTAAATCAATCAAATATACTAAAGGTAATCAGTAAGAACTGAGAAAGCTCATGGGGACATTTATGCTGGTGTACAGATTATAAATTAGTGCCATTCAGTTGAATCTTACTGTACATTGTCTTACAACTTAAAGATAACCTATCACAACCATTACTAGACAGCGGCATAGGGGTGCACTGTGGAAGAGAATGTATGAAGCCTGTACAGGCCCCACTGTCCATTAGGATTCTTTTAGGTGAATTATGGAGTTCTTGTAGAGTAGGGAGTGCCTTAAACTTGTAACCTGGGCCAACAGGTGAAGGGTGCTGGATATGTAAGGGTTCCCTGTGTGGATAGGGTTTAGAAAAGTAGTCTGTAAATGTTTTTTTGTTGTTGTGGCAGGTTTTCTTTAAAAGAAAAAATCTGATTGGCCATTATGGGTATTACAATTATTTAATTACCATATTTAACATTACTTTTTCCTCATCTATAAAGTAAATGTTTTCCCCATAAATAGCTAAAAATTGCACCATCCAAAAAATATTGCACAAATGTTGTGCATTGAAAACAGAAAGTTTGAAATGAGAATTCAAGACTAAGCCTCCATTATTTATATAGTTAAAAGACTATTTAAATGTTATAATTCAAAACTACTGCTATTTTGTACTCATGTGACATCCTGCGTTTTGGAAATGGACACAACTTCCTTACGCAGATGACAGCAACGTAGATGTGAATATTTGTTGTAGGATCTGTGGGATCTGCTTGGTATCCATGGCAACAAAAGACCGGCCTGCTGGAAGAGTCCTCTGAAGTCTGTAGGTTAGAGGGGAAAGGAAGAGAGTATTAGCATTGCAAATCTCTTTACCACGGAAAGAAAGAAGAGGAAGGCTTTCACTGGTGAATTGATAATGATCAGTAGATAGATGCTATTCATTTGTCCCTAAAAGACCTTAAATAGACCAGGGAAGTAAGTACTAGAACAAGCTGGTGTGCCAGGAAAGAGGCACAAAGACAAGGGCAAATCTCGGTACCCAAACTTCCATTTGCTCTGTAAAAGGGATTGCATAGTGTTGAACTCAGAGCACTGGAGAACAAATGCAATACAGTTAACTAAAAATATTTAATTAACATGGAATGTATTTAAAACAACTTTTAATTAAAGTATATCTGTCATGGTACTTTAATTGGTTTCATAATTCAAAAGCAGGCACCCTGTCTACAGATAACTTTGTTGAGCTTCACAAGCTTCCCGGGGCCCCAAATACCATAAACTGTAATATGCAAATTTCAACAATTCCTAGCAACAGTAATAGCTGGCCTGCTTGCTCACATCTTCCCTTACCTTCCTATTGATCAGTAGGGATAAACTCAGGTTTGCACCAAACCCAAGTTCCTCCAAACCCAGTAGGAACATGGGGCCACCTGCCCAGTCAGCTGTGGCTGAGGAGTCCACGTCCCACAGCTGCACATAAACAAAGGGGTGGGATGCTTGTGCTGACATCACTGACCGTATATGGCTATATTAGGTTAATGTCATTGACCAAATAAAGCCATATAGAGTTAATGAGGCCACCCTTTTGTTTAAGTACAGCTGCGGGCTGAGAATACCCCAGCCGGACCGAAATGGGCAGTAGCAGAAGGAGCTTCCTTCTGGGTCTGGTCTGAGCTTAATACTATTGGCCTGTAAGTCTTGCCTATCAACGTGATAGGCAAGCAGAAAGGTGAATTAGGAGGGAGGGGTGTACACGCTAATAAAACTGCTAGGATTTTTTTTAAATGCAGCCTTTTCTCTGCGCTCATGAAGATTTACAATGAAGATGCCAGCTTTTGACTTCTGGTGCCAGTTTAAGTACTATAACAGAGGTACTGTAATTACTGAGAAAAAACATATTTGTATAATAACTGCCTGGGTTGTTCATAACAACTAGATACTTTCTTCCAATGTATTTTTAGCCAAACAAATGTTTACTATTTTCAGAGGAAAACAACAGCATATAAGGCATATACAGTCCAATTGGAACAGCAGGATCAGTCAACAAAGCATACAAATACATAGGGGGAAATATGCAAAATACAGGATATCTGCAACAGACAAAGGCACTTTTGTACACATATAGTGAAAAACATGGAAGAACTGGAGAAAAGGCCCTCACCCCCACACAGAGACAGCGGGGGGCAGGTGAAGATCCCAACAGGGACCGAAAACCAGCTGAGGCTCTATATAGCACCCAACCAGACCATATTTGGCTATGAATGTCCATCTTGTCCCCATCACCAGTTACCAGGCCCTACGCCTGCATTGTCATCCATAAGGGATGCCCAGGCAATCAAAGTGGGCACCCCAATGACTTCCAGCACCTGGTTATAGAAACCTGGGCAGCCAGGAGACAGATCTGATGAACAACCTTTTTGATGCTTTGAAGGAACCTGGCAGGAGGGACAATAAAGCTATTTCAGAAGACCTAATCGAAGTAGATTGCATAGCACAGTACGTGGCAAACACATTACCACCATATATGCAGGTAAGTAGCCTCTTGTTGAAAACATCTCCAACACCTGTTTGAGGAGGATGGGTAGATACAATGTAGCACAATAGGACATCTATACTCTGGAAACATATTTTAAAGTTTTTTTCCTGAAAGAACGTAGAAATCGATGTGGAGTGACTCAAAGCAAATACTTTTTCCTAACCCCCCTCAGACAATTCCAAACCAATGCCCCTCTCCAAGCATTCATGAAGGTCCAAAGCTATTTGGCTTGAGAGACTTAACAAAACCACATAACTGGACTGATTCATACCATTTCCCCACGGTCTTTTGTGTTCAGGGTAAAAGGTTTGGGTTTAGGGTAGTGCAGCCCACTTGTAGTACATGCCCCAAACGGATTGAAGGCAGCATTCCATGGATAAAACCCTAGAAGTGTGCAAGCCAGAGAGGAACTGAGGACTGTGGAACATTGGGGGTGAAAGGGCCAGGGTCTGAAAGACAGGTCATACGACTGAATTATAGAATCCCAATAAGCTAGTTTCGGAGTAGACAAGAAGAAAAGGGATGCCAACGCAGGGCCAGGAACAGGGAGGCAGCCAAGGAAGACATGTCAAAGGAATGGGAGAGGTGTCATCTTCTAAAGATACGCTTACCTTGGAGGAATGGGCATGAAACCAATCCAGCAATCTCGCAAGTATGGCAGCTTTACGATATAGGGAGCAGTCAGGCAATCCAACCTCCCCTTACACTTAGTCTTGTCAAAGTCCTAACACAAAGAGAGGCAGGCCTGTGACCCCACACAAACTTAATAACCACTGCACAGAGCTTCCTGAAGAAGAGTGATGGTAAGCAAATTGGGAATTTCTTAAATTTATATATTATACATTCACCCTACCGAACTAGGACAATTGGAGGGAATGCCACTTAGAGAGATAGGAGTAAATTTGCTCAGTAGGGTCCCCAAAGTTAACCGAAAATAAAATAGAGAGATCAGAGGCAGCCGGATGCCCAGATAAAGAAATAGATGTATGAACTTGATAAATAACAATTGTGATCTTTTTTGGTTTGCTATGGTAGACACTGTTACTTTACTACATTTGACAAAAATACATTTATATTAGTATGCTACTACCAGCCTTCTGTACAGGTCTACAGTGTCATGGTCTGTGGAAAAGAAGGCATGGAAACAAGAACCAACCAACAGTCATAAAGAAAACACAATTTTGCCGTTAGAAAACAACTTACCTTTCAGCTTGGTCTCCCAAAGACCCAATAAAAACAGCAAATGCGTTGACTTGAGGATTAATAGTCAAGGCCTGGGCAAACCTTGCTGGTGGTATACCATATCGTTCTAAATTAGCATCGCTCAAGACTATGACAAAATATTCATCTGCCTCCTCCTTAGCTATCTCCCTTATTGCATGTTCTGTAGCCTCCAAAGTGTAGTCCCCGCTCATACAAAACTGAGAGTGGGCATGCATAGTCTGAAAATAAGCATAGAACACTGTCATTTTAAGTGAATAGTCCATTCCACTTTGATTTCACTGAATTATCAGACAATTATGTTACATTTCAGAAGAACAAAGAAGACATTAAAAGAAGCTTTATGACTCATAACCCATTAAAAGTGGACTGCCCGCTAGAGTTCCATCACTAACCACCAAGTCTGAGGAATTATGGCAACTTATTGGCGTAATATTTCTTTACAAATGCTACTATAATATGCATCTTATATACATGACATAATTTCTAATCTTCAACTTACATGGGTGCTCTTAAGTCTGTTTATCACTTAGTGAACCTTATGTGCATTGATGCTTTATCACCTTTCACTGAGAGGTGAGCTGTGCTTAAGCATAATGAGAACATACCATGGGAACTGTAAAGAACCAAAGTACCTAAACTTCATGAATGATTTCTTGACCATTGGAAACAATGGTTGACGAAAGCAGTGATTGGACTCTTAGTTTAGCTACAGTACTGAAACAACACAAATTAGAAAGTTTATTCACCTTAATAACATCCAGTCGTTGTTTATTGTTCCTGGGTATCTTCTCACTTCTAATTAGTTCAATGTTGTAACTATCCCCCGAATGTCCCGAAACATCATACTGGTGTGGAGAAAAATATGTAAATATACAGTACGGCACAGATAACTGAAGTCAATTATATGGTGTATAACTTCACTGGAGTTAAGTGGATGACGCATGCAAAAGGAATACCACAAGGGGCAATGGAACATTTTATACAAGTCTACATACACTTTATGAAATATTAACAAGCTCAGTAGTTATGCAACACACATTTTCTGCATTTCATACCATAATGTTATTGCTCTACATTCTCCACCTATCTTATATAGTCTGTGTATAACAATATATAACTGTATTCTGAAATATAAACATTTACTTTTCTGTCTTCAGACTAATAACTAGATGCTCTGTATTCCTTCAGACTCTTATGGACTCCCCCCCAACCTGACTCTAAAGGAATTACTGGATAGAGAATCAGTATAAACCATGTCTTACTGCCCACATTAGATGCCCTGCAATAATCACATGACAGGCTATCTAAAAGTCACAAACAACTAAGGTAGATCACCTCAAGGTCACTCTTCTGCAATAAAGTATATCAGTTTGGAAATTTTCATCACTATGCCTAAATGATTTTGGGTCCCCTCTGGTACATCAACCCTGAAGACTAAAAAACAGTATCCTATGGCAGAATCTGAATACTATATATATTTGTTACCTGGTAAGGACCCTCAGCGTATGAGGTATATCCTAAAAAACCTCATGTAAACTCCTAAGCTGTACTATTTACACCCTGGTTTTCCTCTCCCACCGTTGGCCATTCTGCCAGTATATTTAACAAGACCCACTTGTCATCTTGGCAGCCAAATACTGCTCTGTGCAAATGATACCTGCACACAGTATTTGCAGGCACCATTGCTAAATATGTTGTAATCAAATAATTATCACAGCATGTTTACACTTGTTCTTTTATTTACAGACCAAAGGAATGTTCTCTGAGCTACACATAACATTGATTAAAGAAACCTAACAAGTTATTTTTTATTAACAATTGTTCCTATTTAGCACCTTGCTGTTATAATCAGTCCTAATTCCTTTCTTTTATTCCCCCATTAAAGTATACTGAAGCCAAAGCTTTTCGTGTATGACTAGGCTTCAGCAGACTCAGCTGTAAAATACACTTTTCTTTTGAGAACACTGAATATCTTTAATCCAATCTTATATTTAACAACCTTCTTAACAGTGATTAAGTGGTAAGAAATGAGGCCAAGCAATGCTAATTCTATCGGAACCCTTTTCCATGGACCTGATTTTCTGGAAAACAATAAGCATGTTTTAAATATATTTTTAATGATTATATGAATTTTTATCTGTTCTGTCCTAGGTGTGTGTGTATAAGGGGCATTAGCTTGTAAGCTTCTCTGGAGTAGAAACTATTTGTCAATTGTTCAAGGTCCTCTGTAACATAAAGTACAATACAACCGAAACATACAAATTATTAAGGTAAAACAGTGGTAAAGCAACCCTTACTGATTTTTTGTATGTTTTTAATTTTCTTATATTCTACAACTGTGCAATTCTCGTCACTCCAACTATAACTACAAGCATTTCCCCTTTGTAATGCCAGATCTAAACTAAATAAGATCTCCACCCAAACTGCAACAAATCTTCCTTATCTAAGTGTGGACACAATCACAGATAATAAAAGCTGGCTTTCGAATGTACTTACAAAATGCCAGATAAAGACTCGGTCAGTTATTGGTTGAATGATAAACAGGCATTGGTAATACTTTTGCATAAAGGACATAAACTGAATTTCTTTGATCCTTCAAATGATGGAAGCCAATTTATCAGATATGCATTGTTTATCACCAATGCATACAATGTATTCATAGAAGCTGCTGAACTGTAGATATTAAGATATTTTATCATAAGCCTTTCTCTCTGCTTTCATTCCCTCCTAGCCCTCCCCATGCTCTCTAAAAATGTCTGCAAAGTCTTGCCAGGTAGATAAGATGGCTGGACAGCCCCTCATCCAAAATATGGACAGTGGTCTCTGTGGAAAAAAGGTTAATGCCATTAACTCTGTAAATAATAATGCTATACTGTGAAAGAGGGAGCCAATCTTGATTTTTTGTTTTCTTTGGATGTACCCCTGATCTATGTACAGTACTGACCAAAAACATTTATTTTCTTCCTAAATACAAGAGTTAACCTCCAGAATTATCTTTACGGGCTGTTATAGTATTGCTCTGTGGTATCTACTGCAACATCATTTATTGTTAATGTGTCGTTGTGGTTTAAATCATGACATATGTATATGTGCAATGCCAGTCTGTCTGCATCTTAGAGTGGTCAGTTTTTAGAAATGACCTTGTCTCTCCAGGCAAATATGTATTTTCTGACAAATGAGTTAAAGAAAATGTCATGTCTAACCATAGATTATAGGCTCTGCTTTCCTTAGCAACAGACAAACTGAATCACATTCCTGTTCATGAATAATGCTCCTAGGAAACATTAGGTTTTCCAAGATGAGAGAATCATGACTGTTATTTCTCTTTGTTATTACCTTGAACTTATGTTCGTAATTTTCAAATGCTTCCATTAACATGCATGTAGCTTCCATGGAGCGCTCCAGCCTGCCATCCACACCATTAAATCGATACATGCTTCCAGACACATCCACCAGAAGACGGAGCCTTTTTGGCTTTTGCTGAGGACTTCCAAGCTGTGCAGGGAGACATTGCATTTGAGAACAAACTATTAGTTTTTCATCTGTAACTACAGATTTATATGGCTATCTAGCATTGTACACTGTAGGTTTGTTTGAATTTGATTTGTGGATGTGAGAAACCTCTAAGTCAGTGGTTCTCAACCTGTGTAACCTCTCAATCACGGCAGGCTTTCTATTCATTAATACAGGCTTTGTATTAATGAATAGAAAGCCTGCCGTGATTGGCTGAGCGCTGAGCCAATCACGGCAGGCTTTCTATTCATTAATACAAGCCTGCCGTGATTGCGCCGCGACCCGTGATTGCGCCGCGACCCGTGATTGCCGTGATGGCGCCGCGACCCACTGCAGAAGGGCTCGCAACCCACTTTTGGGTCGCGACCCATGAGTTGAGAACCACTGCTCTAAGTACTGGTCTTTTTTTTTTTATGTGAGTAACCTAACAGGCCAATTTATGAGTGGGTTTCCTGTCACATGATTTTTTGCAATCCCCCTTTCATGTTCCAATGTATTTGGGTGAGAGAGGGATGTGTCTGAGCTAGTGACCACCCTGGCCTGCATTTTCACCTTCTAGATCCAAGTCCGTGGTAAAAATAAGTATACCGTTATATAGAAGGGTTTAGCTAGCAGGGCAGATACTGTATCTCCACAAGCCAAATGCTAGGATAGAAATACAGGACTCGACAAGAAATCTGTGACACCTAAATAAATTTAAATATTCGATTCAAACCAATAAGGGACTCACAGACATCAGATACCTATTGCCCATTACCTGGATTTCCAACTGCTTCAGAAGGCAGCTGGGATAGCAAAAGGAACCGGTGACATCCTTGGAACAATAATTTCAGACCGAAATCAAGGTGTGTAATCATTTAAATCATATTCCCTCACATAATACAATATATTCTGACTCAGGAACTTAAATTAAAGGTGATTCTGCTGTCCTGTTTTGAATATTTGGTGAACTGAATAGATTGATGACATTGTGGCTGCTATTTTGGTGCTGTCCTGCCTTTGTACAGGTACACTCAACAGCTAATCCCACCCAAATCACTGCAAAGTTTCTGGACACCAGGACACAAAACTGAACTTATTAAGACTTCAAGAAAACAAAAGGTTTATTTTCTCCACATCAGCCATAAGCCCGAGCCATGTGTAAGTGAGAAACCTAGGTGACACATACATACCATCCACAATCCTGCCAGTCAGTGGCGTATCCATAATCTGTACAAGGGGGATTGGGTCCACTGTGCACTTACTCACTGCACACAGGGCTGGGACAAGGGGGGGAAGCACGAGCGGCAGCTGCCTCAGACACAGTGTTATCATGTGGGGCATGCTGCAGGGTGGACTGTGCCATCCTCATCAAAAGAAACTGCAAAACTTTTGCAGGGTGGCAGCAGGTTGCCAAGTGCTGGAATGCTCTCTTCATTCCAGCACCCACCAGTGAAAGAACATCTGCTCTAGTAGTGGTCTCCACCCAACAGTACAGACGTGGCTGGAAGAGGAAGAGAGATTGAGAGAGAGAGTGGCTTCAGCACTGCCACTGACCAGCAAAGGAGAAGGAAGGGGTAAACAGCACTGCTTGGCCTCCTGTGACAGTTTCTCACCTCCCCGCTGGATGCTGCACTGTGTCAGAGGGGAGAAACCAGGCATGCACCGCAATTTGGGCTGAAAGATGGCACTCTCTGCATTTTGCCAAAAGTGCCATTTTTGGACGATATGTTTCAGCGGCTGAATTGTCGGTGCATCCCTAGTTAACAGCCCCACTACTGAGCAGCAACAGGGGAGGGGTTAACAGCACTGCCACGGACCAACAAATGCAAGGGGAAGGTCAGCAGCACTGCCACCGACCAGCAATACAATGAAGGGGGTTTAACATCACTGCTAAACAAAACAAATGAGGGGGAGATTAACAGAACTTCCACTGCCTGTGGTTAATACTATTGCCACTGATGCCAATGCTGGGGGCTAATACTGCAGCCACTGACAGCAATGCTTGGGGTTAATATTGCTGTCAATGACACCAATGCTGGTGTTATTGCCCAATATTTAGCTCAATACAGCGTTGCATTTTCTTTTTCCGAAGATAGATAGATATATAGATCAATCTTCTAATCTTTCAACTGCTGGTGATATGATATCACCATACAGTAATGTAGAATTGTGAGACACAAACATCTGAATGGTTTGTTTCCCAAAAATGACTCGCATAGTAAATTTTTGTACTATCAACACCATTTAACACACTTGTTATAAAGCATTTCACCTTGCTGTTGGGAAAGATAAAAAAGTACGGATAAGCTTTTTACATAACTTTTCTCATATCATTAGGCACATAATCATAACATTAGTGATTGCATAACTTTACAACAGGTATGCTAAATATGTGGCAGCTTAAGGAAACATACTACTCACAATTATATCCCAATGTGCAATACAGTAATTAATTAAATGACCTATACATTGAAGTTACAAGAAGCCTATAGAAATACAGTAAATACAGTATGTACTGTATTCGTAAAATTCAGGAAATTGAAGATATTTCAGCATTATTTTGTTTTACTACTGGCACATCTTATGAATGGGGAAATAAATTTAGCCTTCTCCCACCAGAAATGTCTAATATAGATCAGTGGGCTCCTAAAAGTCCAGGATTTCCATACTGCCAGGTAGCTGCACAGGGCAGTGAAGCAGGAGCAACGAAACTCTAAACTGGAGAAAGAAGAGTTAAGTAGGGTACACACGGTTAGATTTTTGCACGAACGTACAAAAAATCCTGTCTAAACTTTCCATACTGTCATAAGAAACTTTGGCATAAGAAATTTAGTTTAATTTTCATTTATCATTCTATTTTGGAATGAATGGAGTTTCTGAACGAAAACCACATTCACTGTTAGGAATTCGTTCAATCGAAAAAAAGTTTCCAACGTGCTCCTTCAAATTTTCGTCACTGTGGTCGAAATTGATCATTGATTTGACCTTATTAACGATTAGAAAGTCGAATTAATGTTCCGAATTGGATTTAGTTAATTTGATATACTAACCGTGTATACCTCACTTTAGAAACTACAATCGAGCGACTTGATTTTTCAAGAAATATTAGGGTAAATTGTGTAATTCAAATTGCCATTATCTACTAAAATATGGTACATATTTTTTTAATGGAACCTTCAAGATAGGTCAGAGAAAATTAGAACTATTCTCTATATTTTCAACTATTTGTGGTCTAAATGCTTAAAATTGTAATAGTTTAATAGAGTCCAGATTTGTATAATATGTGAAAAAAGGCAAACCACTCATTTTCATGACTGGTCTTCATCTACAGTTTGCCCAAAATGCCTAGTAGTATGTCCCCGGAGCCTGGAAAGTCAGACATGGCTCCAACTGGTGGTTAGCCACACCCAAAAAATAATACTGGTGAGACATATATTGGCAGACTACTTACTTCAGGCTCAAGCTCTCCACGCCTTTTGTAAATAGCTTTCTCTCCCGTCAATCCATCAATGATTTTGGTATCATCTAGTTCTCCTATTGCTTGATGTTTTAGCCACTGCCTTTCCTTGCCCTTAGCCTTTAAAACATGTATAAAACCAGAAATAAGGCATACATAAAGAACAACAAGTTACAAAGACAAATGATTTTATTATTTAAAATAAATAAGAATAACAGCATATTTAGTTATAATGCAAAGAACAGTAACATAAAAAAACATTCTGATATACTGAACTAGAAAAAAGACAAATTACTACAAATGTTCAAATTAAAAGTAAGATAATATCCAAATTTCTATTTTTAGTCTGATCTTTAACACAGATCCAAATCTGAAAGATAAAGATGTTTAGCTTGGGTGTGAGGTAATACAAGTGGTCATACACTGATCACATGCATGAGAGCTGAAGTTACTGAACAAGCAAATTTTCATTTTCATATGTAAAGTAATTAGCTACTGACTGGCAATGTAAATTGCCCTCTTCCCATACACTTGCGGTATAATAACTGATAGGGATCAAAACAAACAAATATGTTGCAAAAACTTGAAGTGAACCTTGTACTATGATAACAGGAAAATTCAATTTAATTTGAAGGGTCAGTCTATCAAAAGTGACATAATTTACTAATGTATTTGTAAGATCAACCTACCTATGCAGGCTTGGGAACAGACATGCAGAGATAAATCGGTAGGTATTAAGTGGTTGAATTCTTTGATATCTCACAAAAACTGACACATCAATTGTATCTAAACAGACTATTTAGCCTCTGTTTACATTTGTATGCGATGCTGCATGCCATCCAGCTGCAATGTTCTACATTGCAATGTTAGGTGCACTATGGTGCCATTATTTCTTAATGGCATCCCAACATACCTAGCCATCACATGTGCTTTGTATCGCACCAAATAGCATGGTAACCTATTACCACGTGATGTTATTTAAAAAAAAATGTGCTTGCACTTCTTTCACTTCTTGGCTGTGGTAATGAATAGGCTGCCCTACCGCCAGGGCACCACAGAGCATCACAGAGCATCCTACAGCACCTCTGTGATGTCCCATGATAGAGGTGTAAACAAGAGCTTAAGGGCTCATTCACACGAGCTTGCACATCTGTACAGAGTGTACGCCCATGCAACGATGTCGCCCCGAGAGGAACAGTGTTGTTGATAATTACTTGCAGCAGCTTGTACATCTGTGCAGGTCCGGGTGCCCGGACTTGGACACAGACAGTGTGCGTCCAAGTGTGGGCAACTGGACCCGCACAGATTTGCAGGTTTGGGTCTGCGTGTAACCATGTGCAGCTGCGTCCTTGAATATGGATGTACAGGCTATTGCACCCAATTACAAGCAGGACCTTGGGTCTTTGCATGGGCATGAGCCCTGAAGCTGAATGCCAGGCAATCAGCTATACACACATATATACACAGTTGAAATAAACATAAGTGAAATGTCTTATCTGCCACTGTGTTTATAAATGAGCCCAACCCTTTTATGATTCATACATCTCTGCCTGACAGGATGGTGACACCACTTTCTCTTTTTGAGTCAAGCCAAACACTGTTGTCACCTCTCTGCCCACAGCCTGTTGACTGGACAACAAAGAAGCATTTCATTGACATTACATATTTGATAAAGCAAATATTATTTATTAAGCAACAGTGTAACAAATAAAACAGTACTGTATTCCAAATAAAATGTATATGTCTTTAAGAACAAGTTAAGAACAAGTTAAAAATGATTTAGTCATTGACTTATTGTTATGTTACCCACTTCATACTGACACTGCTAAATTTGGTCTGGACAATTAGTCTTTAATGGCCTCTGGTCAAAAAAGGAAAAGGAGAACTTCCAAGTTATACCAAACACTAGAAAATCACTCACACCGCTATGCTGTAACACATACCTTAAGAAAGTAAAGCTTAAGGGAGATTCAGTACACACCAGGGACATATTTGTTTTTACGATCATCATGTTGAACTGGTTCATAAATCCTAAAGCTATAAAAGTTGCTTACAAAGCTAAAGTACTGATTTACTGGCAATATGCAAGATAAAGTATCCTATCAGGATTCTCCTAAATAAAACACAGACAGCAGTGACTATGCTTTGTATGAAGTGCCAGCATAAGACACAGGGATAGGAATGAAGAAAAGCAACACTTGGCATGGTGTGAAACTTAATGTTCATTTTAACATGGAACAGAAATAATATGTTTTCCCTATTACCCTCCATCATCTTCCAGAATATGTAAAACCCACAAACATTCAATACTTTTGCTCCAGCCAAATCTTATATATCAGATTTAATATCTTATATATCAGTCACTTGAGACATCCACTGGTAAGATCTCTTGTTTGAATTCCCAGGTCTGAACGCCTTGCTATGGTCATCATTAGGCTCGGTTCGCACATAGAAATCGCGAAAACCTGCGTCAAACACGCAAAGATGTTTTGATGTGCGTTTGCAAATGTGCACAAACGCTAAATGTGCTTGTGTTGCCATTACTAGTTAATGGCACCATAAACGCAGCCGCAAGTATGAGCGTTCCTGCTCCGCGTATGTGCGCGTTAAAACGTGGATGTTGCAGATTTTGCTGCATGCACTATTTATCTGCGTATAGGAACCCATTGAAATCAATGGGGATGCAAAGCAAATGCGGAGGAGCAAACATGTGTCAAAGAGTACAAACACGTTCGCACTACGCCTAGGTGTGAATTGAGCCTAAGGGGTTCCACAATTTCCCTGTTTTCTTATTTGCTTCGATATATATATATAGTGAACGCAACAGACATTGCTGGAATATAAAGAGATTGGCATGAACATCCAAAACTTCCAGGTAGTTACTAAAGAAAGTATAACAGGGCAATATCACAGACACAGGATGCAGTGCGCACAGCTCCCATATTTGCACATTATACAATGTGCACAGTCTGATCCTTACCACAACACTTCGCCTAAGCCCTGAAAAATCCTTTGAAACACTTTGCCTGTATTTTGCTTCCCTAACCAATGAAGACATTGAAATGAACCACCAAGTGGTATCACTATTTTACTAGGTACTCCGCATCACACAACTATAGCGTGATCATCTGATTAAAGAAGAACTTCAGGGAAAAGTTTACTCCCATACTGTAAGGGTTAACCTCTCGTTTGTGTGTGTATAAAGTATAAAAAAGTTATACTCACCCAAACTGCCAAGCCGACTCCCTGCTTCTCCGGTCACTGAGGCTTGTCTTCTTCTCTTTTGGACAGGTGGAATGTTCCCCAGCACCCTCACTTCTACACACAAGATTCTTAGACTGCTGCAGAGGAGGGGGAGAAAGGATCTAGAGACCCGGTCTAAGAACAAGCCGGCTGGAATGATCGGGTGAGTATAACGTTTTTTTTTTTAGCTCCTAAAAACAAACGAGCAGTTAAGCCTTGCAGTGTGGGGTAATACAAATGTTCCCCGGAGTTCTTCTACAACATTTCCATCATTATCAGGAGATGAACAGATACGAGTTTATCTGCACAGGTCCATCCCAAACAAAAACAAAAACAAAAACAAAAAAAAAAACTTACAGGGTTATTCACAAAAGAGTGAAGAGTTTGGAGAAGTCAGGAGAAGTGAACAATCTAGGACAACAAAGCTGAACTAGAAAGTGAGCTAAATTGGAGAATTTTTCAAAATCAGCTATTTTGGCCTAGATTGTTCACTTCAAATTTAAGTTTAAGAGATCATTTTAAGAATACACTTATAGGTTTGGGGTATAGAATAGGTTAGAAGTCAGCGACATTGTTGCACTGTTTTAATTTTATTCTTTTACATGGCTAAAGCCATTGGTCTACAATGACACTGCATCTGAAGGACTTTTAAAGTCCTAATGATGTGCTGGACTGTAGGTTTTAACCACATGTAACGTCTACCCGCTAAGAGGCCTTGGCTGAAAACGTGACGTGTAGAGAATGTGTAGAGAAATGAGGGCCATAAACTCCATAAAAGATGATCATTTGTATCTAACCACATTATCAATTTGTCCTTTTGGTGCTCCTTTTCTTCATCAATTCTGGTACACACTGAGACATGATACAAACAGTGTGTGGCAGAGTCTTGTGTTGAAATGTAACAGTGATCCTGGTTAGCTGTCATATCATTGCAAAGTAATATGGATACAGTTTTACATGTGTCCAATGAACCCTTAATGCTCAAAAAAAAAAATTCCTGCTTCCGGTTGGGACCAAAGCAGTATATATGAGAAATCATTTTCAACTTCCTTTTTTAGTTCATCCGAGGCATATTTTAAGTCTGACCAATACTTATTTCCCCCTAAGATATGAAAACATTAGATAAAGAGTGATAATAATGTGATCAAGTTCTGACTTTATATTGCTTACTGTATGCAAATGTGTAAAACAGGGCAAATCCTCCATTTAAGAGGACAGAACATCCACAAAGATCAGTCAGCAAGTTTAACTTATAACTCAAGAGGTAGAGAAATAAAAAAAAGTATAATTTGTGTATAAGTCTGGACAATTTCAGTAATGCCCATCTGGCTCCAAGATTGGTGTATAAATCTGAAGTGCCAATATTTATTTTAATGTTTCTAGATGGTAAACGTTGTGCCCCTTATTTGAGTTTACATTTCACAATGCCATGCTAAATTCCTGAAGAGGTTTACGAATGCATGAATACATGTAATTCCTATGGAAGGTACAGGCTCTTTGTTTGGCTTCTTGATTATCAGCTGGTGTTCTAGCCTCCATTGAATGAGAGCTGCATTCATAGAGAACTGGCCTGTTGCCTTTTCACAAACATGATACCATCTTGCTGTAGTTAGCATCTTCGTGCTGCTCGCTGGCCCCGAGCTGAACAAATTATTACTTGAAAAGCATGTCTTGGAAGTGACATCATGCTACGCTGGATATGTGCCGCTCATGTGCCCCACTCACAAAGAGGTGCTGAAGCCCTTTGAACTATGGCACTAAGGAGTAATGAAAAGAGACAAGCTCTCCTTGTAAACTGATCTCAAACTAAGTAAATGGAGGTTCTCATTAAAGCATGTTAAAAATACAAGAAACTAAAGGAGGAAATGGAAACTCATTCTTAGAGCCATGCAAAAATAAAGACTCATTCAGGTCTGATCATTTCCTTCTAGCTTATTTATTCCTAAAGAAACAAAAATGGCTGGAATGAATAGCCCATTAAATGGTTTGAAGAAACTACTGTAGACCATTTTCCCACCATTTTGTATGAAGGAAATTGGGATCATGAATAGCTGTATAGGGCGAAATAAGCTGTACACAAAATTAGCGATGGACAAATCAAGCCACAAGGCTTCACTGTCGACTGAGCATGAATACATTATACATAGCACACATTAGCATCCAATAAAGATATGTTAAGAATACAGTTTATGGTTTATTGACAAGACAGGAAGTTATGCTAAATATCTTCAATGGGGACAAAAAAAAAATATTACAGTGGAAAAGGATAAGAACCTTTAACATTCTTTTTTATTGCTGTCTGTGCCTTTCTGTCCCGATGACAACCACTTCCCCTTATTTCTAGCAGGTGTCTTGAATTGTAACTCAAAATTATAATATTATCATCTCAACATAGTATTACATTTTATCATCTCTAAACCTTCAATAAATATAGAGCTTTCAGCTTTAGCTGAAGTTATTCTTGACAGTACATCTACATGTACAACATGCTGATCAACCACATACTAACTTGCCTGCTACCTATCTAGCTGTCTAGGTATTATTATTCAGCTATTTCTACAGTACTATAGGAAAAGGTGCCAACGTTTTCAGATAATTTCCAGGAATGTTTTACTACCACACTAGTAATTTGCACAATAACATCTGTGCAGCACATTTTGTATTATAATTCATTTTGCAGTGTAAGTTCTGATTTCCAATAAAAAAATTAGCTTCTAAACAGTGGCATTTTTTTTCTAATGTTTGCTAAGGCCTCAGTAGGTTTTTCCTGTTTTGATTGTGTATGGCTATTGACTTTGATTAATTAAAGAGAATATTTTTTATCTTATTTGTATTCTGTGTTTCCAGATCTCTCATTTGCTATAATAATTAAAATATAGTTCCTAGCTAAGCAATATTTAAAGAAATGTCCCAAAAAGTCTGATAAAAGTCACTAGCAATACCGTGTTTCCTCGAAAATAAGACACTGTGTTTATATTTTTTTTGGCTCAAAAAACACTAGGTCTTATTTTCGGGGTAGTTCTTTTTTTCTCTAATGTACAACAATCCAAAGTTAATGCAAATCCAAATTAAATAATCTAAAATGGCAAAGTTAAGAATAGGGTGATCAGGGCAATCAGGGGTGCCATAACTTTCCAAGACCAATTTCGTAACCAGAACGAGCAAAGCGTGCTTTCACTATCGATTCCTCACATGCGGAGTGCATTTGGTATCACTCCGTCTGTGACAGGAGTCGGCGCTATAGAGGAAGCATCGGCTTGTGCGGCTCTGCTCCCTCTGCTGCCGCCTCGTTTCCTCTAGCGCTGGCTTCGTTGGCGCCGCTGATTCTCTCCCACCTCTCCAACGGCTCTTCAAGTTCCTCCTTATGCCACCACCGGCCCTGGGAATGGTCTCAACTAGGTCTTATTTTCGGGTTAGGTCTTATATTTTAGCAATTCCCAAAAATAGTACTAGGTCTTATTTTCGGGAAAACACGGTAGCTTCATTGTTTCACAGGTTACAGCTTCAACAAATTCTATATATATTGAGAGACTATTTAAAATGCCTTTTCCTTTACAACAGAGCTTCTCATCAGGAGACAACAGTTCCTTATGTAAATAACACGCTGTTGTTTAATGTTAGACCTTGAGGTTTATCAGTAGACTAGTATTGTTGGAATAAAGAGGTGTACTTGTAACCAGTAGTAATCAGTCTGCTTCTCCTTTTCCTTCACTCATACTGCAGTAGAGATATGAAAGAGAGAATTTAACTGATTACTATGAGAAACAAGGACAGTGATTTCTTTGGGGGACTTAGAGCATAGGAGCTAAGATTTTGTACTTTGCAAAAAAAAAATAAGACAATGAAAGGGGCAAATAGTAAAGACATCTGCAACTGTAAAGACCATAACACAAGGGAAAGGGTAAACTAAATTAGATCTATAATTACAAAATTAATATTAAAATCTGTTTGTGTTTACACACAGGTTTATCACATTCTGGAATGTTTAAACTAATAATACATGATGAAAAGCATAATTGTGCAAACAGTTTTAAGTAAATACAATCTCTTTTTGGTTCTTACACACACACAAAATGTTTTCTATAATTTTCTATATTTATAATAACATGACATTTTACTAAATACATAGAAGCATTTACCCAGTCCCTGTCTCCTGAAGGAAATCACAATTATACACACTAGAACCAATTTTGGAAAAAACAGATGAACTAGCATTTTGTTTTTGAATTAAGACGAGCCTCCAAAAAGAACACTTACAAACAAGGAAAGAACATACAAACTCGATGCACACAATGTAACTGGTGGGATTTAATCCCAGCACCGAGAGCTGCAGGCCTAATGTACTAATCACTGCGCTAACAATGTGAAATGAGTTTGCTAAAAAAAAAACTCCCTTTACTACCACAATTTATGTAATAATTATTATGGCGTAGAAAAATGTTGTACCATAATTAGAAACCATTGATGCAGAAGTCTGGGTAATTTCAAAGGGCTACCATTTTGCATTAACTATATACATTATTATATTCAAAGTTATAAATATATAGACTGGGTGGACAAATGAATATTGAATTCAGGAGCCAGACTGTCCAATCCAGGAGCCAGCATGACATTTTTTGGAGCCAGCTCCATTGACAGCAACGAGAGAAAAACGAGAGTTAGACACCATTGGCTGCCTGGCTCCTGGGATTTGTCCAGCCCTGATATAGAACCATGTACATTGCTTTAGTTCTACATACCTACATTTTTGTCAACATTATTAAACTCTATTATACCAGTTTACCTGTAGACTATCCAAAATCACTCGAAGAGATTGCACTTGTCTGCGAACTGCCCCTGAGAAACGTTCATATGTAGTAGCATCATATTCACTCATCTGAATTTCCTTCAATCTAAAATAAAATAAAATGCAATAATAAGAAACCGGACCATTAGATGTAAAACTCATGTTGGCTCAATATTCCATCTAGAAGCTTGTTCCTTGTTGTTACTGTAACTAATCTGCATAAGAAGAGTCAGCAGCACATGAAAATGAAATACTACACAACTATCAAGGCCCACTGCCAAAGTAAAGGTTAGCTATTGGCATGCCTATGTTGTGCACTAACAGAGACTACCTTGACCTCCTGCCAGAGTAAGTGATACCAATGGCCTTTCTAGTAAAGACTTCAATTCTATGGGAATCCATATTCAACAGTGAAAGAGTTTACGTCACACACTAAATAACTTTTCAAAGCCATGATAGCACTCATACATAGAGTTAGGACCACACTTTGCAGAGGTGCCTTGGCGCGGCAGTGTGGCTTCTACATAATTTTGGCCAAAGGTTTGTGCAACTAAAAGCTCTGTTTTTAACGCATACTGTTGACAGGGTAACTTGTTTTGTTGTAGGCTAGCTGGCAGGTGTGCTGGGAATTCTTTTTGTGTTTTGTACTGTTGTAAGCCTTCCCATGTGCACCCTGCTACCAAGGCTGGTTATAAATTTATGCGGTGACCATATATTTCTTACTAACAGAGACCACCTTGGCCTCCAGCCAGAGCAAGGGATACCGATGGCCTTTCTAGTAAAGACTTCAATTCTATGGGAATACATCTTCAACAGTGAAAGAGTTTACATCACACACTAAATAACATTTCAATGCCATGATAGCATTCATGTACACAGTTCAAGTGTGGCTGATGTTGTCTATTGTCAAGTCATGGAGCAAGTGAAATATTGCTTACTGCTGCACAACCATGTGCAAAGTCATGAATGAAACAAGATTGCTTTCTTATGAAGCACATCTTCTGCAGCTTCCCCATCACTATGTATCCCCTGATATAAAGACAAAAGCACTTGAACTTGTGTGGCAGCCAACTGCAACTGTATCATTTAGTAAAAAAGTCACTGAAGCACTTCAGTATCAGAGTGCAGGTTGATTCCCAGTTTAAAGCCTGACTCCTGGGAAATTAAAAGTCTTCCCTTGTAGTGGGGCTGGTCAGGTACAATGCAGGCTCCATAGAACTGCATTGTACGTGAGGATGGCAAGTGACAGTCAACAGCCAGAGCAGAAGGGAGAAGAGAGCGGCAACTGCCGCTAACCCTTTTAATGCCCTTGGAGTTGGGTTTTAGGTCAGCAGGGTTGTACTTGATCACATAAATTAATCAGCAGGAAGGAGATTACAAGTACCTTTATTAACAAAAACTATATTTATTAACAAAAAATATTTGTGTATCACTCAGCTGTAGATCCTCAAATACTCTCTGATCTTGTGCTGACACTGTCCTTCCTTCTGGAGGGTGCCTACTTGTGTTCACCATGGTCCCTGCATGTGTTGTAAAGTAGCCACCACTCCAAGCGGGATGTAAGGATCATTTAAAGAGAGCCAAGTTTAAAGGAGATCTAAAGACAACAGCATCACATTGGGTTTTCAGCATTGTGAAATAAATATAAAGTATTATGTTTCAAAATAGTTTTTACTTTTACAAACACTGCATATCTGTGCATTTTCTGTGTAGCAGTTTCTGAAGTTTTTTTGTGCTTTCGTGTCATCTCAGTCTGGGTCATCTCCCACAATGCTTGTGCCACATGTTCCAGGCTGTAGGCTAGATTGGCAAAGTAGATAGGAGAGCAGGGATGTGGGCAGGACATTAGGGAGGTGGGATGGAGCTGTGAGAGAGCAGTGAAAAAAATTGTGTACTGAGCACGTGCTTCTACAACTGGGCGATATTAGGAAGCCAGAATGAAAGGTGGGCAAACTCATACAGGAAATGTATGTGAATGTGTTCTCAGCTCTACTTAAAGGTATTTTTAGGGACTAAATGGACATTGAAATGTAAGGGTACAAGGTGAGAGATGTTCTAATGGCATGATGAAGCAAATATAAATTAATTTTGATGATTTTAGTGACACTTTAAGGTGTGAACACAATCTGTCCTACACCTGGGTGAGGGTGACAATTATGTGACTTCTCAAAGAAATAGACATACTATAGTATTAAATAGAATCCTCAAAGCTGAAATACCAAAACAGTCCCATGTGGCACTGTATCTGTGTTTCCATTTAGAGGATTCCTACAAACCAGATCCCAGGATAAGGGCAGCAAAATCAGTGGCAGCTCAGCAGACATTTAGGTCATCTGCATAGAGAACTGGTGGTGGCACAAGAAAGAGTTTCCCCCCTGCCTGTTGCTGAACTCCCACCCCTATATCCCCTTCTGTACCTACAGATTGTGCAGCTCTGTCGATCTCAACTCCATCCTGCTGCACTGGGCCCAGAGAGAGCAGTTTCCCTGCACTTTGTGGTGCTGCATTAGAGAAGCCTGAGGTGCCAAAAGTTAAAGAAAGAAAGCACTGCTCACAGCATTATCACGACATGCCCGGTGGACCAAAGATTTGCTTCCTGAAGGATAAATGCTATGTAGATGGGATCGGTTTCCTGAAGAGTGATTGTGCAATGTGCATCCTTCCAAAGTCCCCTCACCGCCACTCACACTGCATTCCTTCCCAGCCAGCTCACCCCACCTATAACATCAAATTCCGCTGCAGCCACAATTCCCCCTACTCACAACATTCCTTATGGCAACCTCATGTCCAACTAACAGTACATCCCTACCTGGCCCCCTCCCCATTCACAGTACATCCTAGCCTGGCATCCTCACCTGCCACTAATAGCAAATCCCTCCCCATCCAACTCATCCCCATTCAGCTCACAGTGAGTCCCTACCAAACCACCTCACCACCCTCTCAAATTGCATCCTTTTCCGGCTACTTCACCCCAGCTCACAGTGCATCCCTCGTCAGCCATCTCACTCCTATCGCTAACAACCCATCCTTTTTCAGCCACCCTGCCTTCCAATCAAAGCGCAACCTTCATGGCTACCTCCCTCTCTACTGACAGCACATCCATCTTCGACCACTTTACCCCACGGTCACACTGCTTCCCTGGGTAACCTTGCACACATTCCTCCTGCTACTTCATCCCACAATGCAACACTCCTGGTTACCTCAAACTCTACTCACTGTACGTTCCTGCCCAAGCATCTCCCAATCATAGCGTATCCAACCCCCTACTTATACTGCACCCCTTCCTGCTTACAATTCATCCTTCTCTGGTAACCTACTTCCCACAGTAAATCACTCTTAGCAATCTCATTCACTACTCACAGTACATCTCTCCCTGCTAACCAGCATTAACAACCTGATAAAAGTCGCCACTCCACCATTATAACGACCTACTCCACTCTATCAGTATAAAACAGATTCTCCAAGGTGTCTCCTATGCTGCCTCTGTCACCTATAACTTGCACACTGTACTTGGCTCTGACAATCAGTTCCACTGCACAAGTGTCCACTCTGCTGTATCTGATACCCTGCCACCTGCACACTGTAGTACACTCTGACAATGAGCTCCACCCCACGTGTCCACTCTACCGCTTCTGATCCCGCACCATTGACACACTACTCCATTTTGACAATCCGTTCCACTCCACAAGTGTCCACTCTACTGCTTCTGATCCCCTGCCACTTGCATACTACACTTTATCCTGGCAACACAGATGATTAGTCAGTTTACACAGTAACTTTTTTTTCGTAATGCTTTCAGTATCTTACTCAAAATGTACATTCTATTAGTACAAGAGATGTGGGTGATATGCATAGCTTTACATACTGTATGTATTAATGTATTATTTAAAGTAGCTTTGGGTGGAATGAGACAGGGTTTCATGCCTCATCATGCTGCCTGTGACCTGACTATTTCTTTCCATTCCTATAGTCCAGCCATGACTGTTAGGGAACTGCTGTCAACCCGGCATCATAGCTCCCCCTCTAGAGTGCATTTTGTGTGTATTCCTATGAGATATCTGTCTTTCTAACGCATGTCTGCAGCATTTGTTTATCACCAGCCCCTAGTGGACGTTCCTAGAATTGAGATTGGGACTGAAACTAGCTCCACTCCAAACCAAAAAGAATAGGTGCTGAAGATTATACTAATACATTGGAAAATAAAAATTTGCTTTCACACACACATCAGTACCAAGTTACACTGAGGATTTTGATTACACTTTATAACCATAATGTCCTATATGGAGAATTCTGGGTGGTAAGTGCAAGGTTAGTCTCTTGAGATAGCTCTCCACAGAGCAACACTTAGCACAGTAAATGCAGCCAAACAAGCTCCATAAATATTATTAATTGCACAGCTATCAAGATGGGATTATTCATGGATAATTTGCAAAACAACTACAAGCAATGTCACAAAAGATCTGTTGCTGCTAGTGATCTCATTTGATTTTGTCACACCAACGCACCTCCCGACAGTTGGGTGTTGCACTGCAATGCATGGTACTGCAATAGCATTTGTTGCATTGCTGTACGGTGCAAAATAGTATTACTTTTTTCCACCGCACAACAATGCAACACATGCCTGCCGGGAGGTGCTCTGGTGCCATTCAGACTGAACTTATGTTAAAACTAAAGTTTTGTTGAATTTTATTAAAGTAATATGGAGAAAGTACCAATAAACCTAGACTGTTTGTATAGACTTTTAACCTTACCCACAGAAGGCACGCATACCTCTGTTGAAAGGCCTTCTCTGCCATTTCACTAGAAGCTCTTTTAACCTCTTCAGGGACGGCATCCTTTTCAGCCTGTGATACCTGGTGGACTTTGTGTCCTGCATCCAGGCGATATGGACCACCCATTCCACCAAGTCCTGCTGTGTCTCTGCCACCTGGAAAGTGACAAAAAATAGGCTATATATTACAATTAAAGAGAAGAAAAAAGAAAATATGGAATACAATAAAATGGAGGATCATGTGTGGAATACATGAAAATATGTCCATATCAAGCTAGAGGAAGTGTACTACTCTCAGCACAATTTAAATCAAGCCTTCTTGATTTAAATTTTTTTTTTTTTTTAAATCAAGCCTTCTTGCACGGCAGCCAATGTGCTGCACTTCCCGCATCACCACCTCCATTTTTTTTTTTTCTAATGTAATTCTATCTTCTCCTTTCTCTGATTTGATTTCTCTCTACCTTCTTCCCTTTTCTCCTTTCTCCTCCTCCTCGCTATCTTACCTACCAACTACCCTCTCTTGTGCCATGAGGCAACATCTCCCCATACTTCCAACGAATGGTACATGCATTTTAATTATAAATAGCTTCAGTCACGGACTACAAAACCTAATGCCTGATATGTTTAATTAACAAAAAAAAAGTCAGTTGCTTGTTGGTCTTTCACAGGAAATGATGTGTTGTATATGAGTACATTATCCCTTTAAGTGTGGTAAGCCAACAATTACCTTATTAATATGTTCATAGTCCCCAGAAATGTGTAGATTACATGTGCAGAAAGATGCTGCCTTAATGACTATACAACATACAGAGCAATGACAGAAACTGTCAGTTGCAGTCTGAACTATAAAACGCCAAAAGCACAGGAATTACTGACCTTACTCTTGACCTTAACAAGGTGAGCACAAGTAATGTGAATATGTCAACATACTCTCTAGGCAATCACTGAGAAAACTGTCTCATCTTCTACAAATGTTTATTTAAAGGATAATTAAACCCTGCCAGCAAGCTCAGAGGAGTCAGCGTTGGATTGGAGACCCGCCGCAGCGCTGGAGGGACAGATGAAAACGACAGGAAAGAAGATGATCGGATTAAGAGACATCATTTAAGGTAAGTGCTTTCATTAAAATTGGGGGGAGGGGAAAAATTGACTTTAATGTCACTTTAATACTTAGGTCAGGTAATCAGCTAAATGCATAGTTGAAATACATAATCATACTCTGTTTTAGTTATGACAGGATATGTAATTCTGTTCAGCCAGTTTTGTGATCAGACAGAATAGCCAGGCTGGTGACTATACTTTTCTCTACTGGTGCTAGATAATCCAGTTTGGTCACCAACCTTTTCCCAGCCTCATACTCGGAAAAGAAGGAAGAGAATTACACCGATAAGGTAATCAATTGGCTCTCTACTACTATAAGCATGCCAAACATTTGATTGCCATCACTGTACAAAGCAATAGAGCCCTTATTGCCAGAGACTTCTGCCCATCCCACTCTCAGTGAACATAAGTACTCTAAAGTACACCAAATAGTGCTAGATTTCAGCTTCAAGAGTCATAAATGGCTGTATGAGGACTATAGAAAATAGCAGAAAAATGTTTTCCTCTCTTAATTCTGTGTTCCTTGCTTGTAAAGCCAAGCCATCCTTTCATGTGCCTAGAGTAAGAGCTTTAAAGTTCATGCCATTTTCTCTTGGGAGATTAAAGGTTGTAGACCCTGTCATTTACAATCAACTTAGACAAGGAATACATGATTTTGTTTGTATGTCAATTATTAAAACATCTGATATGACAGGTCATGAAAAGATCATGACCTTCTGCAAATGGCTTTATACTTGTCTTTCAATTACAGAGAGTAAAATACTGAGGTCATGTAATTGTTATGACGTATATCCATATCACCTTACAATATAATACCTTATATTTGAGCAAAGTCCTGCCCAGGCTTTCCCAAGCTTTACTAATCACTGAACCCTGGCCACTTTTTTACCCTCTGCCATTCTCATTTTGCACTTTTATGGTTCTAGGCCTGTGCCACCAAAACAAATGAGCACATATGCATTAATTTGTTTCTTTGCAATGCATAAATTTGCTTTAAAAAGTTACATTAAGCTAATAATATAAGAATATCATAAAAAATGATATTCTAAGATTTGTAATGGCCGCCGCCAGAGTAGGTATTTCACGCGTGTGGAAAACTACAGAACCACCAACACTAGAGAGTTGGGGGAACATAATGGAAGAAATAAGACATATGGAGGAACTATGCGCAAGGGACGTAGATAGGAAGGATAATTATGGCAGGGTATGGTAGAAGTGGGAAGTGTATATACAGTCAGAGGCATATAAGAAATTAATAAAGAAGGACAGCAATATAGAAAGAAAATAGAATAAATAAGTGGGTTATAGATTACACCTGAGAGATACATAAATAACATACCTAATTATTTACTAATTGGCTGGTAGTGCATTTGACCTGTATGAATGACAATTTAGAAAGGAGAATAAATTATCCCTGTCTGAGATGGAGGGAAGGGATAGGGAGGGATAGGGGATTTAATGAGGGAGTTAAATGGTTAAGGTGGGTAAAGGTAGCGCAACATAGGGTTATGTCATTGTGGATGGATCTTCGGATCATCTTATGTCGTTTTCCTTAGTTAAAGGACTCACAGTAAGGATAATACAAACACCACTATTAGAGGGATGGGGAGGATGGGGCGGGGGGCAAAGGGGTTTGTTTTTTTCCACTATGATAATTAAATGGAAGTTATTGTATATAGATTTGCAGTATGGATTTACACACAATGATTAAACACATGAGTAGAGTGAGGAATATATAAAGGAAGGCTGGAGAGGAAATAAGAAAATAACACGGAAGAGGTAATACACAACACATACAAGGTAATCCCCCCCCCCCC